CTTCCCATTTCCTTCCTCAGAGTTGGGCCGAGCGGCTCTTCCTCCTTCGCACAGGCCCCGAGGGTCAGCCTCTCCTGGCCGGGTCTCAGAGCAGCATCCGATTTCCTTGCCCTGCTCTCACCCGCAGAAGTTTCTCCTGGATTCTGCCCAGGTCGGGGCCTGCCCCATTTCTCCCCCCTCCACCAGAAGTGGGTCTGCCCCGGCCCCTAAGGCTGCCCGTCCTGCAGAGTTGTGAGAGCCAAACCTTGGGTGGGGGGGGGGGGACAAGGGATAGCTGGGGTCCAAGGGGGCTCTGCAGGGGAGCCCAGCCAGACTCGGCATAGGGGGGAAGGGCAGGGGGAACCTGGGCCGGAGCCAAAGGGCTGCCCGAGATGCAAAGTTGGCTCCCTGCTCTCCTCGGCCTGAGCTGAGGGAAGGGAAACCCCACCTGGTTGACACAGAGGACCACGGAACCCTCCTTGTTAAAGGCGGCCTCTTCCTCACGCAATCAAGGCAACCAGGCGCTGGCTTAAATCAGACACCCTGCCTTGCCTGGAAGAGTTGGAAGATGCTCTCCTGGTCAGACCAGGGCTTGGGGGAGGCTAGTGGCAAACCAGGCGAAATGTGCCCATTAGGAAGGAGCCCTGGACTTGGCAGAAAGCAGAGGAGCAGCAGAGGCTGCCCATCCCAGGGAGAGGGCAGAGGTCAGGCCCACGAGGAATGGGTTTCCAAGCCCCCCTCCCACAGTGGAGAGGACCCTGGAAGACCGTGGGGCAGCTCAGCGGTTCCAGGCCTCCTCACTGGGCGCTGTCCCAGGCGGAGGGAGGTGTCCAGGTTCTCCTGGCCCCCGGTTGCCCTGGCACAGCTTTGCACTAACCCGCCCATCTTCCGCCAATGCCAGCCATCCTAGCAGGTTCATCCTCAGTGCAGGAGGCTTAAAGCGATCCTGTTAAATGTAGAACCTGAACTGGACACCGTCTGTGCGCTGCTCACATGGTGCGCTTAAGTAGGAGCTCAGGGCCCTTGGGAAGCGTCGCTTGGCACACCTTGCAGTGGGCCTGGAGAATCTGGGCACACTTGGTCTATTTGCGTAGCGCCAACCCTGCAGGAGCTGCACCGGCTGCCAGCTGGCGCCCCCACAAAACCCCTGGCGCTGGGGGCCACCAGCCAAGCTCTTTGGAGCCCAGCTTGCGGTTCTTCCAAAGAGCCTCTCTGTGAATCAAAGGCGGCTGCAGGGCAGATGGGGGCTGGCTGTCTCCCCCAGGGATATGGGGCTCACTTTGAGCCCACACAGGAATGAGGATGGACCACAGTGCCCCTTGGTAAGGCCACCCTGGACTGATTAGCAGCTGTCTTTCATTGTTTCTATTCTTGTTTAATTCAATGAATCCCCTGGGACTAGAGCATAAACCATCATTACTCAAGGGAGGAGCAAAATCCACCGTTCCTAGCCAGGGTGCGTTGATGGTTGTTCCCAACTTTGCAGCCTGGAGCTGAGCGAGGTTCCTGAGCCTCCAGAAGGGTTGAGTTGAGTTTATTGGTCTTGTATGCCGCCCACTCCCGAAGGACTCCGGGCGGCTTACAATAAACAAGGGAAGGGGAAGAAATAGACAAAACAAGACTTTAAAATACACAACATTCAGAGTTACCGTGGGGCTGGGTACTTCAACAGCCCCCCCCCGGCCTGCTGGAGCAGCCAGGACTTTGTGGCTTTGCGGAAGGCCGGGAGGGTAGTGAGGGTCCGGATCTCAACAGGGAGCTCGTTCCAGAGGGCTGGAGCTGCAACAGAGAAGGCTCTCCCCCGGGGAGTCGCCAGCCGACATTGGCTGGCAGATGGAATTGGGAGAAGGCCTCGTCTGTGAGATCTGATCGGTGTATGGGAGGTAATTGGCAGGAGGCGGTCTCTCAGGTACCCAGGTCCGATGCCATGTAGGGAAGGGATCTCGGGCCTCTCTGTGCAACGGGAAAGGCCTTGCAGGAGGCAACAGGCCAGAGAAAAGGCAGCCAAGCCCACGGAAAGGATTAGGGGACCCTGAGGAAGCCTCCCCCGTTTCCCCTAATTTCTTCAGCTGTAAAAGTGGGGGGGGGGGAGTGTTTTCAGAGATTTTGTTAATGTCACCTTAAAGTCAAGATTGAACTTCTGGGCAAGGACCTTTTTGCCTGGCAAGGCTGACCTTCTGCTTCTACTCCAGCACCCTCAGCAGATTAGAAGTGGAAGTAATAAGCCAGGACCCTGAAATGCACACGATCATCCTGGATTCCTTCAACCCTGGACGCACCTGCTGCTCGTGAAGAGGTCCCATCGCACCACCAGCAGAGCCTCCAAAACAGGCCACGAAAGGCTTCTCCCGCTGAGGTTGGGCAGCCAGAACAGGCACCCCCAGCGAGACCCTCTCCAGCCACGGGGAGGAGCCCAGCCCAGCAGCCCTCCCTACCGCAGCCCAGAAGGGCTTCTTCTAGCCAGTGGTCTGAGTTTGGGAAAGGCCAGGCCAGAGGGGGCAGCAGCAGCAGAAGCAACCGCCCACCTGGGCAGAACCGGCTGGCTGGGTTCTCCCTCGGAAGCTCTCCTGGGACGTGGCTCCCACCCACCCAGCTTCCTGCCGCTTGTCAGAAGGAAGTGAAACCAAGGCTGCCCACCTTCTGCTCACGGTCAGGACCTACGGCAGTTTGTGCCCGCACCAGCTCAGAACTGGCACATTGGGGGACCGGCAGGGGAATCGGTGCCCCTGGTTTGATCAGCGCTGCAAACTTGGGAACAATTCTGTGGAGACCTGCTGCCGATGCAGCCATTATCCCCCAGCTTCTGCCCAAGGGTGGCTGGGTGGGAAGGACCAGGGAGGCTGGGGGTTCAAGCGGTGGAGCTCCATCAGCCGCACAAAACCACCCGGATGGATCAGGCCAAGGCCCGCCTGTCCCATTTTCACAGCTGGCACCCAGGGCCTCTGCCAAGCCCGCAATCCCCTGGAGGTCTCCCCCCCCCGCCCTCCATTGTTTCCCTGTCCCTGGTATTTGGGGCAAGTAACCCTGCTGAGCCATCCGAGGCCATCGGCTCATCTTGTAATGAACTCCAGGAGTCAGTGAAGAGTTTGGAGTTTCTTGGGTCTGTGCCAAACTGCTTCCCTCAGCTTCATCAGCTCAAGTCTGTGAGAGCTTCTGTGGAAACTCAACATGCCCCCACCCAGTGCTCAAAAGGCTGCTGGCTTCCCCGACTCTCTGAGGAGGACCTGGGGAAGAGACACCCGGTCCCACGTGGCTGGAGAGGGAGACACCCACTGTGTGGCACCCAGCTGTGGTCCACATCCCCCCCCATTATTAGCCAAGGGGACTCTACTGCCAGACCTGCCACAGCCAAATGAGCCCCCCGTGGAAATGCTGACCCATCACTTGGCTCCGTCTCTGGCAAGGGCTCTCTCTCTCTCTCAGGCCCACCTATGCCACGCACTACTCCAACAGCTGCTGCCAGGATGAAACCTGCAGGGCCCGCCCTCTTTTGTGCCATCTGGGTTTCGGTGATGCCAGGCAGATCCGCCTGTTCTTCTGCGTGATGTCAAACACGCCCAGCCTCACCTCAGAGGGAGCTGCCGTTTTTCAGCAGGAGCCTCTGGCCCAGCCAGAACTCCCGGATCCCAGGCAAAGCGGCCAAAGGAGAAGGGACCCCCACCAACTTCAGTGGGACCCTTAGAGGTGGAGATGCGATGGAATTGGGGAACCAGGTGCACAAACGAGGCACGGGGTGGCTGAAATCCACCCCCCACCCACCCCTCAGGCCCCCTTCAGGACAAGTCTAACTCAAACCACCCCCTTTCTTGGCCATACTGAGCTTGGATCCTGCGAAGCCACCGCCCCACATGGGCTAACCGAACAAAGGGAAGCATGGGTGGGGGGTCCCCTAACTCCAGGCCAGGGGCCGGATCCAAGCTGCAGCTTCTAAACCAGCGCTTTGCTTCCCAGAGCCGAGGCTGCCTCTTCGTTGTGCTGCCCAGGCCACAGCATCTCTGGGAACGGCCACATCCGAGTGGAGGAAGGGTCTCGGATGAAACCGTGAACAGAGGGGCGAAGTTGGCCCCCAGCCCCCGCCTTTCCCAGCCAAGGGGCTTCCGCCTTTTCCACCGGCGTTCATCTGCTCCCAGAGAAGCTGGGCCTTAAACGCCACACCGGCACTTGTTACAAGAGAGCTCCACAAGGGGGCGCAAATGACCAAAGCGTGTCATGACACAAACCTGGAATTTGGCTCGAGGGTCCCGGGTTGCTACCTGACCCCTCGCATGCCCTCCTCCCCTGTTGGCTGTAGGGCTCCGGGCGGGGGTTTGATCCCAGGGATGCGCAAGAGCCCCTCTGTGGGCAAGAGCACGGCCACGAAGACCCTGGCTGTGGGGAGCATGGCTGGGGGTCTTCCTGCTCCACGAGCCGAGCAAAGTGGGCTGGGCAAGGGGTGCTCGGCTCTTCCAGGGGCCCCTTTGCCGACCCCCGGGACAGCTCCTGCCAGCTCTTCCGGGAGGGGGAGGGGCAGCGCATGAGCAGCAGCTGGCCCTCCTGGCTGCTCCTCCTCCTCCCCCCGTGGCCCTCCTGGCTGCCTTGACTTGGACAAGCAAGTGGCTGCAGGCAGAGGGTGGTCCTCACAATTTTATTGTAAAAAAGAAACCGTGGCATCCCCCCCCCTTCCTTCCCCTCCTGCTTGTGGGGGGAGAAGGCTCAGCCAGCAGGTCACTGGAGGACCAGAGAGCCCCCTCCACCCACCCAGGCCAGGCACCCGCAGGCAGCTCCAGCCAGGAGTTCCAGCCGGCACTGCAGGCGCTGTCAGCATGAAGCCCAGCGGTCTCTTCTCCAGGCCCAGGAAGCCCCCGGACAGGACCCTCCTGGAGCTCCAGGCGACGGCTCCTTCCCAGGGAGGAGAGCACGCCCCCCCCCCCCGGCAGACAGCTGCTGCTAGCCTGTTTCTCAGGCGGCCCCCGAGGCCCCCCTCTCACCGCTGACCCTCTGGCCCGACCTGCAGCAGCCCCCGCTCCCCCCCCCAGCAGCCGCTATTCTGCCGGGATGGGGGTGTTGCAGTTCCCATGGTAGATGCGGACGTGGCCGTCGCAGCGGAAGTAGTGCTCAAAGACGTCGCTGTAGCCGTGGTGACGCCACCAGGTGCAGAGCTGGCGGTTCCAGGTGCAGTCCAAGACGTAGAAGAGCTCCGGGTGCTCCATGCCCACCAGGGTGAAGAAGTCCTGGTCCCCCAGGTGGCCCTTGAAGTGGAACTTGCTGGCCAGCTGCTGCACCACCGCCGGCTCCAGAAGACGGTTGTAGCGCTCCGACTGGCGCATGGCCTCCAGGTCCAGCAGCAGCACGCCACTGTTGAAGCCGGGCAGCCCATCCGGGGGAGGCTCTCCCACCTTGGTCCCGGGATGCTCCTGCCGATACTGCCAGAAGACGTGCCTGGGGGGGGGGAGGGGAGGGGGCAGGAGTGGTCAATCCTGCCTGCAAACAACACTCTGGCCGAGAGAAGGGAAGCGGGCGCAGCAGGAAGCCTTCCTGCCTCCACAAAGGGGCCGTTTCCAAGGTTCAAGCTCTCACTGGGTGCCCCAATCTGAGGAAGCCACCAGCACACCAGAGACGGTTCCCTGGCAAAACTATATCCTTCCCATTTCCTCCCCCTGTAGGGGGGCTTCATGCCGCTACTTGCCAGGGGACAAGGGGACAGCCTTTGCCCGCAGATGGCGCGCTGCCCACAGGGAGGGCAACCTGGACTGGAGCAGCTCCAGAAAGGAAAGAAAGAGGGGCAGCAGGCGGCACAGGGAAGCCCTTGGTCCATTTGCAGCAACAGTTTCCTTGTGGGTTGAAGCAACGCTTCTCTGTGCCCCTCAGCAGCGATGGGCACAGAATGGCAGGCAGCCCCTGACCCTAAAGATAAATTGCCATGAGCACCAGGAGCTTTTAGAAGGCTTAGTTTCCAGGACACCAAGGCTCTCTCTCTGACTGGCCCACTCCTCTACCCGAGTGGTGCCTTGGAGGAGGGGCGGGGGGGGCAGGTCATTTGAGGAATGACGGTGTGCGCCAAGAGGCCTTTCGTGGGTAACGGGGCCACTCAAGGCTTTCAGTCAAGGTCAGCACAGGACCCTGCTCAGTCCAGGGAGGCAAGTGACCAAAAGCCTGTGGCTGCCCCAGGAGCCGGCCTTCCCCCTTAGCAGCTGCCTGGCCTCAGTCTGGCCACACATTTCCCCTTCCATTGCATGGCATCAGGGTCACCCAGCCTTGTCTGCAGGCTGCAAGGCAGCCTCCGCTTGTTGGGCAGGGGAGCCCTCCAAGACCCCTGTGCCCTACCAGTGCCCCCCCCCGCCCCCGCAGCCCAACCTGTGGCAGTCACACAGGCCACTTGCCTGCCCCACGTAACACCAGGGTCCTTCTGCCCTGTGGGTTTCGGCTGACATGCAGCAGCTCACACAGTGCCACGGCTGGCCTGGTCAGCACCCTCCCCCCACCATCCTCAGGGGCCCCAGCAGCGAAGGGCCCGGGGAGAGGCACTATGCCAGGCGTGGCTACATACCGATAGACCGGCTGCATTTCTTGGGCGATGCCAATAACTGCTCCTTCTGGGAAGTTGTCAAATTCCTGAAACAGTTCCCGGATGTTGGCTCGGTACTCCACATCCAGGTCCACCTGTATGACCCGTGAAACCTCTGGAAGGGCAGAGAGGCCTGGTAAGACGGGGGCCTCTGCTGCCTTCAGCGCTCCCAGCCGCTAAGCAGGGGAGCCACCCCTCCCCCCAAAAAAACCGGCATGCCAAGGACTCCCTTCTGCAAAATACGTTTTCCCAGGGAAAAAGGAATGGCCATTAAACATTCAAGAGGGAAAGAGGCGATTCAGACATGGAAAAAGCCCCCATCAGCCAAGAAGGCTTTTAACAGGAACTTCCTTAGACGCCTCTGTTCAGCTCCAGCGCCTTGGGATTCCCCCCCCCTAGCGCCTCCCCCTTTTGCAGGTCCTTTTTTGGGGGGCCTCAGCTAGGATGCTACAAATATTTCTTCAAGTTTATCCTTCACAGCAGCTTAATTCACAAAGGCCCCCCTGGACTCCTCCTGATTTGGGGCTCCAAGGGAGGCTCTGAAGAAAGAGGAGCAGGAATCGGAGGAGGGGCACCGATGCCCCCAGCGCCCACTCACCTCTGGGCATGATATGGTGCATGGCGACAGAGAGGAAGAAGAGCGAGTCCCCATAGTAGCTGCCAGCCCCGGCACTGAAGAGCTTCTGCAGAGCCTCCACCGTGGGCTGCAGCTTCTGGGCCAGCGTCTCCAGGTCGTGGAAGACCACCTGCCGGGCAGAGGGACTGTCAGGGCAAAGGGGGGGGGGGCAAGAACAGGCAACCCCCCCCCAACTGCCCACAGGCTTTTTTCTGCCTCCTGTCCAAGCAGCCCAGTTAAGCTACAAGCGACAGCAGAGGACGCAGGAGGGAAGGGAAAGGAAGCCCACGGGAGGTGACTTGCAGAGCGGTGGGGTGAGGGGGCCCTGCCAGCCCTCCGCCCTGCTCGGGAGGCGGCGGGGCTCCTCCGGTCCGCCCAGGGACCCGTGCCCAGCTGGGGCTGGACTTGGCTCCCTCCCCAAAAGCGAACCCTCCGCCTGGCTCCGTTGCCGCAGGGACCATCCGAAGGGCCGGGAACGAGGCCGAGAGCGGAGGAGGCTTCCCGAAGGCAGCCGAGGTCGGCCGCTGCCGAAGCCGGGAAGAGCTGCCTCTGCGCCGGTTCCCAGGGGGGGCCGCCTGGCCGGCGGAGGGGAGGGGGGGGCGCACCTTGTACTTGAAGGCGGCGGGGCGCAGCGCCTGCTGAAGCAGCTGCCGGGCGGCGCCTCTGCTGGGCCCGTCGCAGAGCAGGTGCAGCGCCAGCGCCTCCCGCGGGCCCAGCTTGCCGAAGCGCACCAGGGAGCGCAGCGCCGCCGCCGCCTTCTCCCGCAGCGCCTCGTTGCGCTCCGCCTTGGCCAGCACCGCCACCACGTGCAGCTCCTCCGCCTCCGCCCGCAGCGCCTCCTCCGCCTCCTCCTCGCCCGCCTTGGCCTTGCTCTCCGGCGCAGGGGCGGCGGCGGCGGCCGAGGGGGAAGGCGG